CGAGCTTCAGCTTTCAACATAAATGTAAAGACAGTACATAATGTCCTTAGTTTTACCATCAGTTCAAGCCCGAAAGTGGAACAGTCGCGTGACAGACACAGTGATGATGCTCGTATGTATTTGCAGTACACAAGCCGCGATTAAGAAAGTTGACTCCACTGTGATGTGACTCTGTCTCTCTCTCACGCACACACACATGACGCGATACTCTACACGGCGCAAAACTCCGCATTTGAACAGTCAATAGCAAATACTTAAACTATTAAGAAAACATACTTACAGCAGCTGATTCAGAATAAGTGCCAGATTGGCATAGCAAAGTCGGAATTGACCCTTTTTTTTTTAAATAGCGTTTGCACAGCCAGCCTTGTAGGCTACTCTCCTAGGTTCACAAAACTGTCGTCCATAAAATGCGTTGCACAAATTTGAACATCTGGGTTGTGCTGTTCTGTTGTAAATAAATCTCAACCAATGATTCCTCATTGCATCTACTTCCGGAAGGCCAAATAAAGTGCTTTCGCACAGAAACACACAGGGTCTCCCTGACATGGCTGCATCAACACTACTGCGGTTCCTGAAACCACGCCGCCTTTCTTTGCATGAATATTTGGGTGGCATTACGCAAATATTTCCACATCCTGGCGTAGAGATGTGGGGGTGTGTTTGAACGAGGCGTTTTAGCCCGGGTCTGGCTCAGCCTTCTCTTTTAGATAGAATAAATCCTTTTGTGGGAGACTTTGAGCTTTGTAACTCTGCAGATCTTATACATGCACAAATAGCTACATAACACACTAAAGGAAAGTAAAAATAGAAATCGCATCATATGACCCCTTTAAAGGGACAGCCCAAAAATGTAAATTCTGTCATCATTACCTTCATGTCTTCCAAACCTGTGTGACTTTTTCAGACAGAGTTTTGTTTTGTTTTTTTGTACAGAGTTTTAATTTTTGGGTGAACTATTCCTTTCAATCAAGGTTCCTGGAATGAAAGAACTAGACCTGGGTGATAAAACGGTATCGATATTTATCGACGGTACACCTTCTTCGATAACAATATAAAAAATGTCCGATATAGTGCACGATATAGGCACGTGCGATGAGTGACGGCAAGATGCGGTGATAATGATGTAAGTGACGTTGTTCCATTTTAATGTTTTGTTAGTCTAACCCACGAGACGCGCCGCTACTGTGTTATGCATTCAAAATATTAGAGAAATATAGAAGCTCAATGCGGAGAAGATCTTGATCAGGTGAAAACCAAAACCAAGCATTTTTTAGACGGACAAATATGACTGCTGCACTCGCGTCTCACAGAAGAGATGTATAGAAAGCCATGCAAAGTTAAAACAGTTTAAACTTTTAGAAAACACGTCACGAATTTGTGGAGGTTTATTCCTTTTCACTGCGTCTCATATGTTTTTAAATGCAATCTGTGTGATGGGCGATTCAGCTCTTTGTATTAAGCATAAATACATGATGCTGTTTTGTTTATAATTGTTTATGCAATTTGAAATTATATTTGATTTATATGAGTTAATTTAGAATGCACGTTTTTTTAGAGACAGTTACTTCCTTGCGTTGACAATTTAAATGTGCATTAAATGTGCAATTTAAATGTGCTGCATTATTTTGTTCATTGCGCCCTCCTGTGGCCTCAGGAGACAAGACGAAAGTTTCCTTAAAACCTATTTAATCTGCATATAAAACATTAGAAATTAGATATTTAATTTTTATTGTGTGTTTGACTGTTAAAACAAAAAAATATTTGTTGTTTGTCTCAAATTGGCTTAATTTAAAAATACAGTGGTTAAATTAAAAAAAAAAATTCTATTGCTCTTTGTTTTAAAAAAGGTTATAAAAAATGTCAATAATTATCGATACCGAACAATATGAAACATTATATCGTTGATACATTTTTTAGCTATATCGCCCAGCCCTAGAAAGAACTACAAATTGCTTCTGTGAAAAATTGTCCCCTAAACAGCATATATCTAAGTAGCTAGTACAATGTCCTGGAACAGCATATTTACAGAGACACATTGCAAACAAGTCCCTTGCAGACAAGTCAGTTCACTTGGTGGCCATATTGACCCCTTAACAGCTATTTCCAGCTTTTTTACCTTGTATTGGGAAAGACCGAAATCTATATTTCAATAACATAATTCAAATCAGGAAAAAAACCCCCATAAATTGTGCTTATTAAGGTCAACTCACACAAAAGGGTATTTTTCAGACCCTTCCGGGCCAATAACAAGCACATTCTATACTAAACAAACAACAATTGGCTTATTTAACAGCCACCATGTTGAGAGTCGCAATGCCTCCATCAAAAATTTTAAGGCAGGACTATAGCCAGGCACTATATTTGAACGTTGTGATTTCCCACATTCATACATGTACAAGTGGACTGTCTCTGTCTTATATGTCTTTGGAGTTGTATTCGATGATGTCAGTGCAGATTCACTCCCTGCTTTCTCTAGTTTGTTTAAGCTGTTATTTTTTGTTCTCTGTACTTGTGTCACAGAATCAGTCTCTGTCTCTGCCACAGATCATCACTCTCTTCTCATCGGAATGAAAGCAGAGACTACCAGATGGGCACTCCACACACTAAGAGCTTCTCACTCATCTACAGAGTGGCATCCTCTATCTGTAGTTGCACCAGTCACTGTGATGTATCTGCCTCAGGAAAGTATTTAACCAAAGGAATATACAAAATTGATATTTACAAACCCACAGGAAGCAGATTAACTTTTGCCTATTAAAAACATCAAATCCTGCATTATAATTGCCCACAGCAGAGCAAAAGGGCAATTTTCTGGGACTTCTGTATTCAGTAAGGGCAAACAGCCAAAGTGATCAGAACACTCACACACACACACACACACACACACACACACAACACACTACACCTGCCTGATCAGACTGGCATACCAAACCCTCACCTGTTGGCTCAGTAAACAGGCTGAAGCACAAGTAATTCAGATCTACTCCTTAGAGAAAAGGAACATATGGTACACCCTTTCTCATTCTTTGTCCTAAGCTTGGACTCAAACCTAATCAAATTTAACCAAACTTTTAAGGCATCCACACAAAAGCCGTGTTCCGTCACACATGGAATTGGTTAATTACCACTTTATTCACTTATATATGCACAGAAGGCTATATGTTTCCTTTCATCAGTTCACATGTTGATATAATCCTTTATGATGATAAAGGTGAACAGACTGCTTTAATTTTTATTCTGGAATACATAAATAATACACGTTAATAGAGTACTGCAGGGATTATGTATTTTTGTAGGCCAAAACCCGGAAACAAGTCAGCATTTTTTTTTAATTCTACGACAAAATACAACACAACAGTAACACCCCTTCGTGATGTTTTAAACTTTGTACTTGTCTTGAAAAAGTACAAGGTGGTTGCTAAATGGGACTACAGACAGAGGTTGTTGGGGACATTAAACGCCATCATATCGAACAGATAAACTCATCTATTCATTAGTCCACTTTCACAGCCTCGATGTGTTTATAATCACACTCTTGCAAACTACTCCAACTCACACTTTCAGTAAAAAAGTTTTTAGATTTTTGAAGTCATGTGACCGTGGTGTAGTTTGTTTATATCCTATGTTTAGCTACTTCTGCCTTCATTTGTGATGATTATCATGATGAACAAAACGTGTAAGACCAACTTTTGTTGGTCACAGAGCTTATTTTCTGCAATAATCCAAAAGCCAGTGGAAAAATCCTTTTGGGTGATGCTAACTTCCGGGTTGGCCTACAAAAATACATTATCACTGCAGGACTCTATTAATATAGGGCAGAAATATTAGAATCAAACCGGAGATGGGGCAAAAAGAGGGATGCTGGATTCGCCAAATTGTCATGGGGGGTGAGGAAAATGGCTGCTTAGGTTTAGAAGAACATGCTCTTCCTCAACTTTCATTCAGGACTCCATTTAATGAAGTCCTTGTAACCTTTGCATCACTCCATCGATTAGTCTATCTGTTTATAAGCCAACTCTTCAGAACATCTATTGTCCATGGATGCTGGAGCCAGCAACTTGAGACATTGCAATAATGTTTAAGAACTAACATTTACTTATTAATTACAAATTTAAGGCATCAATTTAGCTGAGAAAAAAAAATGTTTGTACTATATTGGACACGGTCACCTTATTGCTGAGAGCATGGACATACCGTATATTTCATGTATATGAATACACCTTGTGAGTATCTATGACATGTTTAATCCTTAAATGGTTTCTGTTTCCTGGGGGAACAGACATTTGAGAGGTTGGGGGAGGGCAGTGAATATGTGGGCCTAATGTCTGAGAAAAATACTGAAAAGGGGGCCCTGAAACCACCCAGGTCAAGTGACTTGGTATAAAAAAAACTCTGGCAGCCACTCACCATCTTTATGTTAAAGTAACATGATGGCAGCATGCAATGAGACCAGCACTGACCTCGAGGTAAACGCTGATATCTTTTACATGTTATTTACACACTATACAACTGTGTGTATATATATAAAACTGTAAAACTAAAACTAAAAGCATTATCTCAAACAAAAGCATGAAATTATATTATTTGATAATGCGTTGTAAATATAACTAAATTAATTAATTGAACATCATAGGGCAAAACGTCAATAAACAAGCATTTTACTGGCTGAATATGGGTGGGAAAAAAAACTATCGCAGAAAAAAGCAGGTGGAGAGAAGAAAAAAAAATGGCTGTACAGGCAACATAGTTGATAATGGAAGAGCACAGCCACACATGAATAAAACATGACAAAACTGAAAAGAGAAACCCGTGTTCTTTAATAACTTGGCACATGTAGCGATTTCAAGCTAAAAAAAAAAAAACATGGTGATCAAAAACAGGGTGTTATTGTGACGAGGAACAACCATACTGTTTGAAGGATATACAATACCAGACCTAATAACCAAAGCAGTACTAATACAAAAAAAGACACACAATCTTGTGAAACACACTGAGAGAGTGAGACAGCCCGGTCGCCATCTGAAAGCTTGAGAAAGGTCATCATCAGCAGCATCATTAGCGTTCCAGCGCATCCACACCGGAAACAGCACCATCACTTTATATACTCACATCACACATCAAACTCACTACACAGGGCCTACAACTTTACTCCACCTTATCAGAGAACGGATTTAAGGAGACTTTATTACAGCGAGCTCGCGTTTGTGCGGATAAGACAAGGCGTGGTGCCGAGAACACGAACTGGGGGAAAAATCTTTCACGATCACACGTCTTGTCGCCCTAGCGGCTCTTAACAATAATAGTAGCTTAACACCGCACAAGCTGCTCGAGCTCAACACATCAAGAGTACAGATACACACACTCACACACACTTTATCATGTTTATTGCTCGAGATCTCGTCCCTTGCTCTTGTAAATGGAAATGTAAGCGCAAAGTGCATTTATAATGGCATCCCATGACTGTTTCACGGCATGGTGTGAAAACTACGGCACGCGCTGTATTCACATTTTCATCCATATTAGCGCAGTTCTGCTAACCGAGTGTCGTTTTTAGGGTGTTTCGGTGCCATTCGAGGCGTTATTGTGTAACGGCTGTAAGTTATAACGTTTCGTTGACTGCAGCCGCACTCTCTCTCCCGCAACTCCTACAATAAAGAGAAATGAACAAAACCCCCCTGCGCTGCCTCTGCGCTTTCACATCCACTCAAATCACCACCAACACAATCACATAAAGAACGCGAAAAGAGTTCACAAAATGAAGATGAAAAACAACCGAGGTGCACTTACCCTCGTACACACTCCTCCAGCAGTCAAACCCCGATCTTCATACACTTACACACACACTCACCAATTATTTAAATATATATCTACAAACAGCCGAGCATTTCACCACTAACACCCTATCCCGCGGATGAATTTATTCCCTTTAGCGCCCTAAAGTTTTGAACAGTGTAACAGGAGGAATCTTCGCTTTGTTCGCTTGATTTTTAACCCAAAATACATAAAAAAGACAGAAACTGATATACAAAACAAGAACTCTTCTTCCATCCCATTCACCGCCAGCTTGTGCGCTCGGCGTATCAATGCGCGCAGAAGAGAGATAATGGGACAGCAAAACCAGGCCGTATAACGCACAAAATAACTCGTCCAACAGAGCACATTATTCGTCACGTTGGAAATTAATTTAATATTGTAGCAAACCGGGGCGAAATAATTATTGCCGAGCGCGAAAGAACACTTAGGAGAAGAGAACTAGTTTATGTAACGGTGCGGCGAATTTATTTCACTTTGCCTAAGGAACGGTTGTAGTGCGCCCCCCATTGCCTAGGGAAAAGTCCCGGATGTAAACTCAGCGAAACTCATGTTGAGTGAAGTTACCATAATGTGCATCCAGTGTGGGCCAGAGATATTGTTAGGACAACAGAAAAGAGATTTTCTCACGTATTCAATAAAATGACAGTACTTTACGGTAGTTGTTTTTATGTCTTATCCATGATAGCTTAAGTAAACCTATTATATCGTCGCATAAAGCCGCCAGAGCTGTTTAGACAAATTCAAACACAACGTTCACATTGCGATAAAAGACAAAAGTGTTTTAATAATTCATTTCAAAAGCATTTTTATTTCTAGTAATTTTGCATGTACGTCATATATTTTGGATGTTTTTGGTGATGTAGCTTAGTGGCTGTCTTGTACAAATGCTCTGCTATGCATTACACAAAATACTGCCTACTTCCTTCAGTAGTATGTACTTTTTATGCATACTGTGAAATTGTTCCGTATGATGTAATCTTATATAAAGAGTGATTGGTGAATGCAAACTAATTTACCCACAGTTACTTTTATTTATTTATTTGTCAACACTGCCAGAAATGTTGTGACCAGTTTTTGTTTTTTTTAGTGGCATGCGTCGTGTGAAGTGAACGGTAGGGGGAGACAGAGCGCTGTGTTTGTGGGCGATCGCTCCTGCTCTCTCAGCACCGTTTTCTTTTCTAGGCCTTTGCCTCCTAAACTGGTCCACACTCTCTGTCATCAGCACCACTGAGTCATCGCAGTTCGCTTTGAATTATCACTCCACATGAAAAGAACAAGTACAAGCCTCAACATTTTTTACATCCATTTAATAATGAAATACAGAACAGAAGAGTAACATCACTGTCGAGTCATTGCAAGCATAATATGCTAAAGCAGTTGAAATTAATATATCAGATGAAAGAATAACTTTTTTTTTTTCTCAAAGAAAAAAAAATCTGTGATGGTTGAAAATGTAAACAAAAAGAGCTGACAATAATGGCAAACAGGCTGTTGATGTTCTAATGAATGTAATTGTATCAGCTCTTTCTGTGTGTTTAATTACAGAGCTCTTTTCTGATGTTTATCTGTTCCTTTTCCTAGCACTCTTTGTTTGGAGGCACAATGAGTTGAGGACGCCTGTGTGGCATCGATCTTATATACAACACAAAATTTCCAGGAGTGAGGTCAGTGAAAGTAGTTGTTTACTATTTTGGGATATGCATACATTGATTGATTGCATTTACTTAATATAGACATTCCTAGAAGACTCTTTCTTACCAAAGTGCACAAGTAGCTAGGAATACACAATGCTTGCTAAGGTCCTCGACCCTAGCCATCAGAATCCTCAGTAGCTTCTGCTGTTTCTTTTTTTATTTCATCTAACCTCTAATGAAATATCAGCTGGCAGTCAGTGACTCATCCTCTTCAGCTCTTGTGTCATTGGACCTCATTGCTGATTGTGATTGGCTGCTGTGTCTGTGATCTTTGTGAAAAACATTGATAAAGTATAAAAATGGATTTCTGCACTGCACCTCCAGACTAATCCGTGGTGACTGAACTAATCAAGACTTCATTTATCCGGAAGTCCCACCCTGCCAGAGACTGAGTCAGACATTCTTTTTGTCAACATGTGTTTACATAAAGTAAAGAGCAAAGGAGACTCTCAGAGTTAATGAAAGGACACATGATAAGGTGCTTAGCATCTCATTCCCAAACAGTGTATTTTATTTGTATTGCGTCGTACAGTATAAAATGCTCTACCATTGAAAAGTTTGAGGTCAGAAAGATTTATTTAGTTCCTTTCTTCAGCAAAGATGCATTAAACGGATCAAAAGTCACAGTAAAGATATTTATAATGTTACAAAATATTTCTATTTCTAGTCATCAAAGTGTACTGAAAAAATGTATCAGTTTCCACAAAAACTGTTTTCAACATTGATAATAATAAGAAATGTTACTTGAGCACCAAATCTGTAAATTAGATTGATTTCTGATGGATCATGTGACACTGAGTAATAGCTGCTGAAAATTCATCTTTGCCATCACAGGAATTAATTATATTCAAATAGAAAATGGTTATAATAATTATATTATTATTAATTATATCTCACAATATTATTGTTTTTACCTGTATTTTTAAATTAAAAAAGCAACCTTGGTGAGCATAAGAGACTTCTAAAAAAATCTTCCCAACCCCAAAGTTTTGAATGGTAGTGTATCACATACAATTTTTTTGTCACTGTCTGTGTGGCAATAAATATTCTACTTTTTTCTATTCTATTTTATTCTATTGTATTCATTTTTATTTATCTGACTTAGGTCTGATGTGACATCACCATTTCTAGATCCCAAAAGTAAACAGCATACAGTGCTGTATACACTCACGGTGTGCTGTAATACTACAAAACAAAAATCTCCATAGCAAAATCTCAGTTGGTCAGACAGAGATTCCTTCCATAATTGTTAAAATATTTGTGTCCAGGACACTGTGAGCCTGGAGACTGTAGTGTACACTTATTAGCTTAAATAACTTATTAGCTTAAAGCTTTGCTGAAAATGAATAGTGCTCATAAATGGCTGTTAAGATAGTATTCTCACTTGAAACAGAGTAACAGTATTCAACATATGACTTAGCAAGCAGATACATATTTTCCTCTGACAGCTAGACTGCAATAGTGAGAGAGAGATAATGTGTGGTGTTAGTTTTAGTGGCACAGAGTGAGCAAAGCTGTGTTCAGCTGCTGAGAGTGCTGTGATCGGATCTGACATCTATGCTGAAGCTACTATATAGCTGAACCACTGCTGCCTTAAACCTCTCATCAGGATGACCACATCCTTCACTCTGAACTCCATTCGCTGACCCAAGCCCTCTGACCTTACTACACACAGAGAAAAAGGAGAGATAGAATTAGGAAAAGAGATGGTTTCCTTCCATCTTCCTTACCACATGGCCCTTTTTGCATACTGTATGTTTCTGTCTTTTATAAACCCAGTAATCACTGTCTGCCTGCTTGCTTGCTTGCTTTTATATGCTCATTCTCTTTTTAATTGAAGTATGGTTTGTAGTGTATTTTGTCATGATTGCTGGATAAGAAATAAAGCTGTAACAGTTAGGAAAGTAAAAAAAGAAAACAAGAATGAATGGTGATGAGTTACACTGTAAAATAATAAGGAAACAGCTTGCATAGCTTTATTGAGTTGAATTCATCTACAGTGGGTATAGAAAAGAATCACCGCCCTTTAAAAGAATCAGATGTTGTTGCTTTGCAGCCTGAAATGAAGACAGAGACAGTTTTTGTTTTATCCAGCTGTATTTACTCAGTGCAACTTATAACATCCAAGTGAAAGCTATAACACCAACATGTCAAAAAATAAATAAATAAAATAAACAACCAGAATCACTGAGTTGGAAAAAGGATCACCCTCTTGTGTCAGTATTTTGTTGAACCATTTTTGCTTTAATTACAGCCTTTAGTCTGTTGGGATATGTCTCTGTCTCTACTAACTTTGCACATCTTCATCCAGTTTGGAGCGACGTCCTGATCCAGGGAGGGTCTGTGTATAACCAAATACCTCCCACTTCTTAAAGGGCACCTATTATGCCCCTTTTTACAAAATGTAATATAAGCCTCAGGTGTCCCCAGAATGTGTCTGTGAAGCTTCAGCTCAAAATACCCCACAGATAATTTATTATATCATTTTGAAAATGC